GGTCTGAACCCTGCTGCCTCAGTGGCTGTGCAACGCCACCACCGAAGGCATGCGCAGGGTGCGGACCCCAGCCTGTAGCAGCAGCCACCTCTGCCCCACACACAGATCAGGGGGCACGTGCCCCCTGTGCCTGCTCTGGGGGTGCATTTAGTGGCGGGAGCCCTCCCACACCCCTGGATGGGCCACCCGGGCTTGGAGCATCCCACAACCTGCCCCGGGGCTCCATTCACCCCAGCCCCCGCCCCCCGTCTCTGCCCAACTCCCTCCCTCACCACGGGGGCCTCAATCTGCCACCCCACCTCTTCCCCACAATAGACTTACCTGCTGGGGGGACATGCACGTGCATGCTCAGCCCCCCAAAATCATATTTTCTTTGTCCACCTATGAATGGAATGCTGAGGCCTTGAATAGTGGAGAGCTTGCAGTACTGACACTATGCAGCTGTGGGTGGACTTTGTACACACATCTTAATGTGATCTGCAGGCACTCTTAGTCTGCCTGGCAACAGATGGAGTGCATAGGGAACCCCTGATTGGCTGACCCAAACTGCTCATGGTCAGCCTGTGTTCCTATGCAGCACAATGTGTGGATTGTGAAGGGGTCACTTGCTAGAGAAGCAGAATTCAGCAAGTGACACACTGTCTCATAGGGTGAGTGGGTGGGATAGGAATCCTGGAGGACTATGTTCTCTTCTGAAAGAAGCTATGGCATGTACAGATGTTCACTCTCCCAGGAGTGACTGACTCTGAATGTTCCCAGGTTATTTTACTCCCAGAGTGGCCATTTTTCCTCTGGGAGTAAAAGCCTGAATATCTGTATACTCATGGTTTCTTCTGGGAGAGGAGCAACTAGCCCAAGAGAAAATGAATGTCTGTATGAGGCCAGAGAAACCACTTCTCATAATCCTTGCCGTTGTTGTCACTTCATACTGCTGCGTACTGAGATGTAAGAACACAAAGGATATTTGTATGTCAGAAGAGACCACATTTAAATTGCGATCATTAAGGGCTATTTGCTATAACCAAGTTAGATCAAAGATGATAAGGACAAACTAGAACAATGATAACAACAACAAAAAGATTAGCTTTTCTTTTTGGCTAAGACCTTGTGTGGTAGGTTACACCTAATAACAAAGTTTCACCATGTCTTAAATAAGTGTTCATTGAATTGAACTGAAAATAAGTGTTCTCAGGAGAAATGGAATTTATTGGAAAATGTGTTCTAGCTTTAAATATTGCTTGGAGATAAACCTTTCTGGGTATAACCTTCCTTTGAAAGATACAAAAGTGAAGTTTGTGTTCTCTCAGCACTCAACAGCTTACCTCATGTCAATAACCTGACTCACTACCACGCTGGGCTGGGATGCTTTTCCTTCTGCTACATCATACAGGAAGAGTTTGAAATCACAGACCACAGCCAGAGCCCTCTGCCAACCTTTCTTAACTCCAGCTGGCTTAGGAACCTATAGTAAAACAAACAGCTGATCAACTTTCAACAAATTTGTGTATTCAAAAGAAAAAAGATATCAAAGAATACAATGCAAATATTATTTTTGTTAATAAATCAATGCACTGTTTGTTCTCCTGTTCAGAAATATGACAGGCAGCATAAACAACATTACATGCATTCAGTAAAAGACATGAGAACCAGGGGCGCTTGTATTTGTGACAGAAACTGGTTGTTTTTGCAGTTTAATTGTGTAACACTGTACACGTGTGGGGGGTTTTATGATTTAAATGAATTTGCTATGTTGCAAACTAAACCACATCCACGTGGTGGGCTCAGGGAAGAGTTGGATCCGGCAGGTGCTGCCTGCAAACTGGGGCAGCACCCATGCAGCTAGCATCCTGCCTGGGCGGCCCCAGGGGGTGCTGCCACTGCGGAGGGAAGGACTGGGCCCCCCTGCAGCTCAGGGGCTGAATGGCTCAGCAGCAGCTTGTGCGGGCAGGCTCTGCTGAGAAAAAAAAAGCACCAAGGGGCCTGATCTTTTCCCCCCTGCCCATGGAGACCACCTGCCTCTCCTACAGGCCAGTGGGTGAGCTGCCGGTGGGCCTGAGCTGTGGGGGGCCCAGACCTTCCCTCTATGGTGGTGGTGCCCCCCCAGGTGGCACCAGCCTGCTAGCAGCCCACCTAGGCGGCCTTGTGGGGTGCTGCTACCACAGAGGGAAGGACCGGGCCCCACCCACAGCTCTGGGGCTACTGAGCCTGCTGGCAGCTCACCCCTTGGCCATGGGAGACACGGGCAGGCTCTGCAAAAAAAAAAAAAAAAAAAGGACTGGGCCTTTCACTGTAACAGTGATGGAAGCCCCATAATTGAAATCATTGTAATTAAAAATCCACTGTTTCAATTTAGGGGATAAAACCCCCGTCATGTGTACAAGTGGCCCAGGTGTGGAGCCCAGGTGTCAGATTTAAACTCCACATTGTATTTTAAAAAAACCTGTCCCTACCTCATTCTTCCTTATCCAGAAACTCATGAAAAACAAACAAAGGGCATTTATACACATACTTTTTTCCAGCGACATGCCAGAGATCTGCTACTTTGAAGCAGTCTCGATTAATTGAGTCTGCTGCTCCGCATGTGAGCTGAGGTGAACGGTACTGCGCCATGTGTAGTTGTATAAGTGGTAAAATGTGCATCAGTGTGCAGAAAATGGTGGCGGTGTGCTTTTGAACTAAAGCACCTCCAAGGTGTTTTAGTACAAAAGCCTGCTGCCACCATTTTCTCAGTGCATTTTTCAAAGCACCCGGCACTGCGATGCATGCACATGTAAAAATGCCGAAAGATACTGATAGGAAGAGAAATAAAATCTTACAACGCTAAGTCACTGGCTTTGGTAGAAAATGAGGTAACACCTGATAGCTGTTTGGTGTTCTTAATCCAGTGCCCATATAATTAGGAAACTATCACTATAACTAAGACAGAAAGAACTACCATCATAATGCAAAAGTCCAGAGACTGACCTGAAGACTGAAACAGTCTCTCAGGTTAGAGGTAGTCTCTCCCAGGTAGGTTCAGAGAGCACATTGACACAACAGAATGAAATAAGTTTGTTGCTGACAGTGCTATATCTGCTCTGTGAATAACTAGAGATCTTCAACCTCCAAGGCTGCCACTTCAAAATAAAAACATATATATAATATGTACATGTGCATGCACGTGTGTGTATATATATATCCACTAACACACACACTCGCATATACACACATGCAGACTTATTCAGAAATAGACTTTTAAAGCTTAGAATCAGAGCAGTTAACCCCAAGCAGCTCAATACAATCTCTTGATACTTACTCGGACATGACCTTCATATGCAGTCCCTATACCTTTCTGTGGGTCTATTCCCAGAGGACCCTTGGTCTGTTCAGGTGGAATTGGGCACACTGCTGGGGCCTTGTCTGCACAGGTCACATGGCATGAAAATCCACAAACTTATCAGGAAAGGGGAAGGAAAAAGGAGTCAATAACTCACATAAAATCTGTCTTCTTATGCAATATGAAAGCTAGGACAATAACGTGTGTAAAGGAAGTAACTCTTTTGAAGCACATTCAATTGGCTAATAATTCAATTATTTCAGTAAAGCTTTCTATAGTGAGAGGAAGAAAAGTAAAATTCTTCATCAGTAGCTCTAAATTTTTGGACTGGAAAACTATATTGGCTACAAGTAAATCTAGATTAATTCAATCTTGAAGTAATTTAAAATGGCTACTGAATGGCAATTTTCCTTTTATTTTTCTCACATGCCAAATTCATTTTATCATCAGTACATTTGACTTCTGTATATGTCCTTGGTTCCATTAAACTAAATTAAAGTAAATTCTTCCACCATCAATTATTATGTTCTAAATATTTCCCAGCAGACCAATTTCAGCTAATTATACAGTCCACTGCAAAAAATTCTCCTTGTAACCCACCCAAAATGCTTAGCTACCACCGTTACAAGACAACAATAAGATTACAAAACATAATTTAAAGGTAAGCATTACAGAATGGATTATTTCAGCATAATAGTAACATTGCTTGCATAGTTTTCAGTAACACCATCTGTAAGACCATAGGCACTTAAACTCATGTTTATTTTGGTCAGACTTACCTTCACAGGTGCAGCCCTGTCTTATCAAACCAACCATCAGAGATGTGCACTGATTGCATTTTGTAGGTGTATTAAAAGATTTCACTACAAACTGATGGGCCTTAGGCTGGGAAATAAACAGATACAGATGTTAGCTGCTAGCAACATACTACCATCACTTCTTGTGCAGGCAGACCTAATGAAAAAATGTATGTGGGGTTTAAATCTTGTGGTAGCAAAAATTAGGATTTTGCACATAATTCCTGAGCTGAAAATTTACCTTGCTTTAGTTATCCATTCCTTAAAAAGCTCAAATAGTATGGATTGCTATCAACTAATTTCTGTTGGTACTGTCCTCTGGAAAAAAATATTTAGACTTGCACCTTGTCCCAGTACATACATTGGCTGCCATTTCTGAAAGGAAGATGGGCACGGTCGTCTATAAATGTCTCCCTGTTGTAGAAGCACATTTTAGAGGTTGCATTTTTTGAACTGCTAGCCAGTCAGGAGTTTTATTATAAAGGTAGAAAGTCTGCCAGAAGAGAAAAGTCATACTGGAATGCATCACTATAGTTTAAAATTCTGACTTGTTTGCTACAGTGGATAACAGAGTTCAGTTTCATGATGTGAGGGGTGGGTGATTCTGTGATGTTAGTGGTAAAAAAATGTTTAAGGTAAGAGAGTGCATGAGGCTGATTTTCAAAGGACTCCCCTCTCCTTGGCTCCTGGGAGCCTGCACAGTATTAATTGAATGCATTCTTTCTCCACAAGCTTGCCATGCAGTCACAAAGACAGCAAAGTCCAATGGCTGCCCATGAATGCATGATGAACATTAGGGGTGTGCAAAGTGGGCAGTATTCAATTCGGATTCGGCCTGATTTGGGGGACAGTGATTCAATTTGCTGATTCAGATCACTGTCCAGATTTGATTTGGCTGAATCTGAAGATTCAATTCTGATTTAGAGAATCAGTGATTTGGCCATAGATATAGCTTTATGTTTTTTCTACATACCTCAAGGTACCAGGTGCAGCTCGTAAACGCTGAGATGGTGGGGCGGATGGAGCGTCCCACAGGAGTGCCCACGTGCTTAGCAGTGGACCTGGAAGTGGACCAGAAGAAGTTCCAGTCCACTTCTGGGTCCGCTGCTGAGCGTGCAGGGGAACCCCCCCGTGTCCCCCCAAAACAGTGATCAGCTGCGGGGGGACCCCGGGTGCCCCCCCAGACCCAGGAGGCACCAGTCGCTGAGCGGCGGCAGGAGGGGTCCCCCACACACACTGCAGTGGACCCAGAAGTGGATTGGAAGTACTTCTGGTCCTCTTCTGGGTCCACCGCCGAGCACGTGGGGGACCCGCCTGCGCTCCTGCAGGACGCTCCATCCACCCCACCATCTCAACATTCATGAGTCGTGTCTGGTACCTTGAGGTTGTCACAACCCAGTGATTTTTGTGCCTTGGCACTATGGAATTTCCTGGCCACATGAGAGCTCCTTTGCACGGCAGAGTGTTCTGCTGCAATTGAGAGCCCGCGTGCAGGGAAGAGTTCCTGCCAATTTACAGTTTCCTTTGCAAGATGCATTTCTTCTTTGCAGCACAGAAATGCACGGTGCAAAGAGTTCCCGCTATTCGGATGTAAATTTGTGCCCCGCTATTGGCCAGTGCTAAATTATTCACACGTGGCGGCTAGTAATTGGCTCGCTGGCCGTTTAAAATTCCGCGCGACTTCCACCCAAGTCGAAGAGCTTTGAGCACGCTGCAGAGTGCCTCTGAAGTTATCTGACTTGCGGCTGCCGATCGATAGACTGATCACCTATCGATCTTTCTTCCCGTC